TTTCAGTTCATCATGTGTTACATAATATGTTACATAATAACATTTTCAATACTGATCGAATCATCTCTTGATCTAATGGTTAGATTGCCGTCAATATTCATCGAATGAAATAATGATTTCATCATGGATCAATTTTTATTCACTCAAACAGAATGATGCATTAACTGACAACACAGAGACCAGAACAAGGATACATACTATGATAATCTCCATCATAGTAGGTTAACTGAAATCATTTCAAGAAATGTGTGATTGATGTTCGGAAAAATGATGTCAGTCTTTCTTTGAAGTTCAACTGAATTCACATAGATGGAAATGAATTTTCAAACTAAGAACACTTGACTTTCTTGCAATGATTCTCATCATGAAACCCAATTCATACAAATAATTGAATGCACTACACTTTGTTGAACTCACCGACAACATTGTATATACACGTTTGAATATAAATAGTTGTTGAAATCCATCAGATTAACCAGTCGTAATTCATCATTCATACATTCAAAGAAATTTCATTTGATTGAAACGCGATGTTGTGAAACATGATTGACATTGAAAGTCTTGTAGATGGTGTCGAATGACAATTGACTATGATCACCACTACAATAAGATTACGTGCCAAATATCAAAGTGTATACTTCGGTTGGCCAAAAACTCAGAAGGCTGTTAATGGTTGTAATAAGATGTATTTGTTGCTGATCTCATGGTATCGAAAGAATACGGAGACGTGCCAAAGTCAACTGGCGGAACTGACGAGCGTAAGGAAGTTCGCGCAAGGTCATAGGCAACGGGAGGAATAGTCTTTTTGGTACAGTTAAACACAAAGGTAGATTACTACAGTCTACTGAATATTGCATGATACATCGGGTTGACAATTTTACACTGAATTAAATAGACATCCAACTCTGAAATCGTCATCACATCATTGAGTTATTGTCATATACATTGTTATTTCTCAATTTTATTATTCGATAACTTCAAATGAAATCAACCTCTTCTACTTTTTACAGAAACTTATTCAAAAGACAACTCCACTGAATCATGTCAAAACAAAACAACATTGGATATAACATGAATTTGGTGTGAAAAAAATAACACATGTATTCAAAGTAATGATAAGGATATTCATAAGTTGAAAACCAAAGATTGTCATATTCTGGTAAGTAATTATTATATTTCTCAGATCCTTTACAACACCACCGAATTCCATATTCTGAGTAAAAATGGATTTATTTGAAAGAAGATTTTCTTCCATCTATAACAATCGAAGTGTATTCGAGTCACAGTGACTAGGTCACAGATTAGTAGATCATAGATTGATGATGAGTGGGAGATTTTAGACTCCCAATGTTGATGTTCAGAACAATAATATCTGATTCTCTATTGTAAAATTGGTAATGTGAATAGAATACTTCAATCAAAAGCTATCAATGATAGGCTTATTGATTTATATTTGCATAGTGATTAATCTCATCATACACAAATGAGTTGTCAATTAGTTGTAGAATAGAGGGTACTTATCTCATTGATTGTCATATTAGTCGATAGTAGTAGATGTTCTAAATGATTGTATATATGTAATTTATGTAACTCTTTGTTTATTAAATTCTCATCTATCATAATAGTTTGTTTTATTTTACTTACAACAGGTTGAATGTTGATCAAGAAACAAATCAATAATCAATCAATAATTGATAATTGATAATAATAATCATTAATACTGTTTTCTGTGTTATGTTTTTTGTTTTGTCTTCAGAATATGACTACCAGAACAATCGAAATGAATGAATCTTAGAGAATACACCGTTACTTATATATTGTGATACCGTTGGTTATCTCTTTGTTTCTTTCTTTTTTGTTGTCTTATATATCGGTTGTTGTATTTGTAAAAGGTTGTACAAAAAATATAAGGGAAGTAATAAGTGAGTCACAGTAACATCTTATAAACCTCATCGAAAATTCTGAACAAGTTGATCCTAGTCCATATTGCCTTAGAAAACTTTAGAGTTAATTATACATTTCAATAAGTTGGAGGATCTGTTTATTGAACTATGTACAATCTCCTGATTGTTTACATCATAAATGATGTAATCTCGGTAATAAACTGTCGGATATAGGTTTTGATTATTTCCATTATTGCCTTCTAACAATAGTGTGTTGACTTGTTTTACAAGAGTTTCACAATATACTACTTTTATATTAGTAGTATTTTGTATATATGATTTAATCATCATTGCAGTCAACAATGAGTCCATTGTGAATGCCATTTCGATGAATTAACGATGATCGTTCTTTTAAAACGATCTGTCGGATCCCTTTATCAACACATAATTAGATATTTTTATTCTTCTCTATCTGATTATTCACTATTCAGTATAGTCTGAGTAACAAACTATTGTGAACTCGGTGAAATCTAGACTGATTATGATCTCTTCCATGATTGATTGTTGACATAGGTGATATATAATCAATTGTTTGATTCAAAGTATAGTGTTTAGAAAGGCCTAAACTAGTAGTTGTCTTTATCAGGTTATATTTTCCTCAGGAATTTAGATTACTGACTAGGAACATACTGAACAACTGATAAACACTCTCCTTATCTTGTATGTTCTACTATAAAATCAAAGAGAGAATGTTGAGTACATTTGGATGTATTCCATTTCGAATTCAAGTTAGGCAGGAAACAATGACGTGGAAAATGGATAATCAATTCTTAAAAAAATGAATTCTCTCACAGTTTTCAGATGACACTAGCTATCGAAGGATAACTTTTCGACTGATGATATCTTGTATAATTGTTCACTGTACGACAGGCTTGAATATATCTCCGGTAACCAAAATGTGAGCCTTGTCAATAGTTTATCTGTTCGAACACTAAAATGTCCTCTATGGAAATGATCAAAAACAAACTTATGTAATAAAGAAAGAGTAATGGTAAAATTATTTAGGCCGAAATTCAATCATAACATGTGTAGAATCAAACAGATTTGGCAAAATAGACCAGAAATTCAGGTTTCAGAATACAATTTCAACGTGAGTTGATACTTCATAGTATACTTCTAATGTATCAATTACTTTCTCTAAACCACGTCAACATCTAAGGTCATAAGTATAGAGTGTACACTAGGTGAGTACGTTCAAAATGCACCATCACTTTAATGAATTTTCAGTAGACTTACAAATCAAGAATCTTGTTCCACACCCTTATACAGAGGAATTGAATAATAAAATTGAGAATAGAATTGACAAGATATGGAAAAATGGAAATAAAACGGTAACAATATTGGAGAATATCTACTGGAGTGTAAGTTTGTGGGAGTTTAAGGAGATAGTTTGTTAGTAAGTAGAGTCAGTTATTTTATATAAAGTTAAATATCATGACTATCAACAAAATTTTTCATAGTTCAAATCATGGGTCAATTGAAGCTAGACCACCATCAAAAACCTGGAAGCACTGGACGACTGTTTCATCTTGTTGTGGGACTCCTCAGCAGTGCGCATCCACGATCCCGCACTCACGAGATTTGAACCCAGGACCTACCAGTCTCAAGCTGGAGCCCTTAACCGACAGACCACTGAGCCGGCATCCAACGGTGGTCTACCTTCAATCGACCCGTGATTTTAACTACGAAAATACTAAATTCTCCACAAAACCCCCTCTGATCTATCAACAAAATGTCCTAAACTTTCGAAACTAAATTCACAAAATAATCACCTACTTTGATTCAGGAATATTTCATCTCAAGCAGATGAAGTAAGACGACAGTAAGCCTCTGGTCAAATAATATTGTATACGGACCACAAAAACTGAAATCATCTTGGCAAACCTCAACACCTCTGAGTTCAATGACTTCACTCTTCATCACTTCCTGAAATATGTTTAAGGAAAAAATTAAACTAAATAGTAGTTGGATTTCAATGAACCACAAAGAATGGCAATCTTCGTCAAAACCGATACAAGTTCGGCCTCGTGAACCTGTAGACAAATATTTTTTTTAAATCAGCTTCACAGGATAGGTGAGAACGGTGAAGTTAACTGAATGTTTCTCCAGCGTAAACTGTAGAGTATGTATACCCAGTAAAACTGGAACTCAATGTGCATCTGTGAATTGTTATTCTTGAACAGCATTTAACACATTCAGCTATGACCTATTTGGTCAAAGTATGTATTGTAACAAGCTGATAAAGAAAACTTTAGTTTAGGCTTTTTTAAAGACTATACTTTGTATGAAACAATTGATTGTATATCACCTATGTCAACAATCCATGATGGAAGAAATCATAATCAGTGTAGATTTCATCAAGTTAACAATAGTTTGTCACTCAGACTATACTGAATAGTGAATAATCAGATAGAGAAGAATAGAAATATCTAATTATGTATTGATAAGGTGATCCGAAAGATTGTTTAAGAAGAAATAATCAAACCGATATCTGACAGTTTATTACCAAGAATACATCATTGATTATGTAAACAATCAGGAGATTGTACATAGTTCAATAAACAGATCCTCCAACTTATTGAAATGTATAATTAACTCTAAAGTTTTCTAAGGCAATATGGACTAGGATCAACTTGTTCAGAATTTTCGATGAGGTTTATAAGATGTTACTGTGACTCACTTATTACTTCCCTTATATTTTTTGTACAACCTTTTACAAATACAACAACCGATATATAAGACAACAAAAAAGAAAGAAACAAAGAGATAACTAAGGGTATCTATCATCACAATATATAAGTAACGGAGTAATCTCTTAGGTTCACTCATTTCTATCGTTTCGGTAGTCATATTCTAAACAAAAAAAACAAAAAAAAAACGGAAAACAGTATTAATGATTATTATTGTCAATTATCAATTATTGATTGATAATTGATTTGTTTCTTGGTCAACATAGAACCTGTTGTAAGTAAAGTAAAACAAACACAGTAGTATTCATTCATAAGCATCATCCCATATTGTTTAATTTGCTCAGGACAGGGTTGGATGAAGAATGCTGGTGAGCGGCCTATACTCCTCCACGAGGGGTAACAAGCGTAAGTAAGTAAGTAAGTAAAGTAATATTATTCAATGAATATATTAATCATTAATAACTATTATCAGTGTTGATAATAAATGAGAATTCAACAGTTTGATTACATAAATTACATGTATACAATCATCTACTACCGATTGATATGACAATCAATGAGATAAGTACCCTCTATTCTACAACTAATTGACAACTCATTTGTGTATGATGAGATTATTGTTTTATTATTATTTCATATCTAATCACTATGCTAATATAAATCAATCAAGCTATCACTGATAGCTTGATTGAAGTATTCTATTCACATTACCAATTTTACAATAGAGAATCAGATATTATTGTTCTGAACATCAACATTGGGAGTCTAAAATCTCCCACTCATCATCAATCTATGATCTACTAATCTGTGACCTAGTCACTGTGACTCGAATACACTTCGATTGTTATAGATGGAAGAAAATCTTCTTTCAAATAAATCCATTTTTACTCAGAATATGGAATTCGGTGGTGTTGTAAAGGATCTGAGAAATATAATAATTACTCACCAGAATATGACAATCTTTGGTTTTCAACTTATGAATATCCTTATCATTACTTTGAATACATGTGTTATTTTTTTCACACCAAATTCATGTTATATCCAATGTTGTTTTGTTTTGACATGATTCAGTGGAGTTGTCTTTTGAATAAGTTTCTGTAAAAAGTAGAAGAGGTTGATTTCATTTGAAGTTATCGAATAATAAAATTGAGAAATAACGATGTATGTCACAATAACTCAATGATGTGATGATGATTTCAGAGTTGGATGTCTATTTAATTCAGTGTAAAATTGTCAACCCGATGTATCATGCAATATTCAGTAGACTGTAGTAATCTACCTTTGTGTTTAACTGTACCAAAAAGACTTTCTCCAGTCGGCTGTGACCTTGCGCGAACTTCCTTACGCTCGTCAGTTCCGCCAGTTGACTTTGGCACGTCTCCATATTCTTTCGATACCATGAGATCAGCAACAAATATATCTTATTACAACCATTAACAGCCTTTTGAGTTTTTGATCTACTGAGGGATACACTTTGATATTTGGCACGTAATTTTATTGTAGTGGTGATAATAATCAATCGCTACTCGATACCATCTACAAGACTTTCAATGACAATCATGTTTCACAACATCGCGTTTCAATTAAATGAAATTTCTTTGAATGTATGAATGACGAATTACGACTGGTTAATCTGGTGGATTACAATAACTATTTATATTCAAACGTGTATACACGATGTTGTCGGTGAGTTCAACAAAGTGTACTGCATTCATCTATTTGCATGAAATCAGTTTCATGATGAGAATCATTGTAAGAAAGTCAATTGTTCAGTTGTCTTCAGTGAGTTGATATCTCACAACAGACCTTGTTGAACTCCATTGGCTACTGCTCCTTACTAGAACTCCAGGAAATACCTCATAGAGGCAGTCACTATTGAGCATATGAAGACATTGGAGAATGGTTTCTCAATTTCGTGGATTGATTGATGTTAGACATTAACACCGTTGGATACCGGCCAGCTCAGTTGTCTAGTGGTTAAGCGCTCGCGCGCAAGCCTGATAGGTCCTAGGTTCGAATCTCGAGAAGCGGAGTCGTGGATGCGCACTGCTGAGGAGTTCATAATAGGACGAGAGGGCCGTCCACTGCTGCCAGGTTTTCGACGGTGGTCTAGCCTCAATTGAATCATGATCTTAACAATATAAGTTTACTAAAATCTCCACAAAACCCTTTTCTGACTTCGTTATTTTTCCAAAATGAGTCCTTAATCCTCTTTATTATTCAACAATGAATCGATGTGTAATTATTAATGTTAAGTGTAACATCATTTGAGACGGATGTCTGGATAGCTGACTACAGTTACTTATGGAGTATCTGATTTGATGAAACAAAAGTGATGTATTCAAGTGTGAAAATAGTCAATACAGATTAAATTAGGTTTAACATACCTCCGATGATTTCACTCTACATTAACATGGCAGTTTCGACCTATCTCTCAGGAACCAATATTACAGATGCTGTGATATCTTGTGTGAAAAATAGAAAAAAACTACACTTCAAACTTGGGTTTTTTTAAACATGACAAGTTGTTTTCACCATTTAGGAGAGGTCTAAATAAAAACGGTGGCTTGTAGTACAATCCAGGACGCGTGTTTCGTCTTATTTAGAACTTGTCATCTGGATATACCTGCATCTCAGATCTGATGTTCACTGTGGCCCTGAAACTCAGCACCATTCGTCTTAAACTTCGTCACTTCATCCACTTAGCTACTAAGTCCAGATATACACTGACTTGTGCAATGAGGTGAATCTTTAATTCATTTTCGTATAGTTCGTTGAATCGTAATGATATTTTGACCTGCAAATAAATCCACTGCTAATCACCATCTATCTTTGCACACAATACTTGTGACTTAAAACAACATCGAGATAATCCTTATACCATGCTCATATATCAATGAGAGACTGATCAATTGCAGCACAAAACACCAATGGAAGCATTCAAACAAACAATGCAAAACAATAATTATCTCCACTATATAAAGAAACAGTAATACATTTCAACCGATCAACATATATCACTTGACTAAGGATTCAGTGGCTTTTACCATATTCAATCCTAAAACACTCTATCACACCTGATCACTTACACTCAATGCTCGTCATGAAAATCAGCTTTATCTTTTAATAACAAATGATTATTCGAGTGAAGCATTGACGACTGAGCATTTCATGAAAGAAATATCAGTTCCAAGTACCACTGCTTTGTTTATGTTTTATACAAAACCCATCTCCGTTTGCATTGAGCAGTGATATGACTGAGGACTACAGGTGTGACATTCGTATTGTGAGTCAGTGGATAAGCAAACGAGTGGGTGAATAAATGAGTGGATATATTGTCTACTTAGTACCGTCATTCACATATTCCTGTCTCGATCAGTCAATCGGTAACCATAAACGTAATACATCTCTAAATAGCCATCCACATTTTTGCAATGAAGACATTCGTACACCTTAGTTATTTTGCTCGAGATATGCGTTTAAGTGAGTGTCAGTGGATGTGGGTCTTGAAATTTATTGTCAATGAAATTTAGCACAGAAAACTGAAACAACGTCAGTACTATTTCATCACAACAGCTCAATTCATTTCGGTGACATTAACAAGAATGACGGTTATTCGATTTCCATTCAGTTAATTTCAGTGATCCATTGTTCGAAAGGTTTAATCACAATCATCAAACACTTCCAGGATTCTGATGCACCGTTATTCATAATCAGAAGTGTGTGTTTACAAATAGTATCTCAATTTCTTTTCGCACAACTATCCGCAACACTTCAATAACATTTCCACCAACTGATTTTAATGACGAAACAACTGAATAATGTAGACTGTAAGAGAGTCATATTAGATTGCTGTAATAGAATATTCTGTGTTGACATGTTGATAACTGGTTACAAACAGAAGGTAATATAACAAGTTACCATACATCAAAATGTTAACGACATTAGTTGAAATGTTTCTTACTTGTTCCACACACAAATGCACGGTCGATTTTCGATTGCCATCCACTTTCTTCAATTTCTTTAGAAATCTGAAAAGATGTATTGGAAGTCAGAGTCAAAATCTGTTAACACACAACCACTTATATCAAAACCAAATGATCATTGAAGTAATGTGTTATCATAATGATTATCTTATTCACAGACAACTAATCACACTTACAGTAAGCATATTGATGTTTTCAGTTTGTTTAGAAGTATGTTCATGCTAATCTACATAGATACTCGGAATCACTCCAGTTGTCAACTTCAGTGAATTAAGATGAACTATTTTTATGTCATTGAATGCAGAGATAAACTCTAAGGCGAATATCTACGTCACTTGAAATGAAATGTGAATCACTGCAAGAATGCTGTACTTGGAATATTCCTACAATAGGACGAAACGGTCGTCCAGTGATTCCAGGTTTTCCATGGTGGTCTAGCATCAACTGACACATGATCTTAACTATATAAAATTACTAAAGTCTCCACGAAATCCTCTTGTGATAATGATCATATGCTCACTAGTGACTGGCTCCATGAGGTAATTCCTGGAGTTCTAGTGAGAAGTCGTGGCCAGTGGAGCTAATCCATGTCAGGTAGAGACAGGTATCTACCTCAGTACAATGGAAGTTGGTCGCGCAATTTGGTGGATTGGTTGAGGTTAGACATTAACACCGCTAGATGCCGGCTCATTGGTCTATCGATTAAGTGCTCTGGTGCGCGACTGGTAGGTCCTGGGTTCGAATCCAGCGAAGCAGGATCGCGGATGTGCATTGCCGAGGAGTCCCATAACAGGACGAAACGGCCGTCCAGTGTTTCCAGGTTTTCCATAGTGGTCTAGCTTCAATTGACTCACGATATAAATTTATTGTTACTGTTCGGTGCAAACACATCATTGTTTCTTTTCACAGTAATTCATTTCTAATTATTCACTGTTTTTAGCAAGTACGTCATTTAAGGATTAATAATAATGTCAAATCTCTTCCTGTCGAGTTCAACGTAAACTGATACATTCGACAGTATTTATCAACATAAGATGGTAGACTAATCTGATGAAATCGAAACAAAATTATATTTCCATTCAGTTGTGCAACTTACGTCAACATAATAGGAAGATATCTTCCTATTCGGATCTAGCAGGCAAGTTGTCTTGGCCATAACGTCTAAAATTAGAAGACAATCGATACTTGGGATTTGCGAAATAAATATTGGGAAAGTTATTGTTAGATGTAACATTGTAAATGCCACATCATAAAGTGATCAGATTTTAGTGGATATTTACTGGATAACTGATCTAAACGAGTTAATTTAGACTTGATGTTCTGGGTGTTCCAGTTTGTATAAATTATCTCACACTAGGAAACTCTTTATAATCGTTCGTTGGTCAGTTGTTTCAGGAAGTGCCTGAATTCAAAATTCATGATCATAAGAATATGATCACAAAGATAGAGTTGAATAGTCAACAGATGACATCTTAGAGAAATGGAACTTCTATGAATTAAATAAGTGTTACAAAAGAGTAAAAGGATATCAAATAACATTTGGCAGTTCATAGGCTTCAATAATCCAAACTGACTGCTCTCACAACATCGTCTATGTTATACATATGATATGCCTGATTCATTTAATCTATCAAGAAGTATCATGTCGGTGAAATATCCTCCACTTTATAGTTTTGATAGACTATAGAGTAAGTAATTTTCACTCTGAGAAGGAGTTTTATGGATATTATAGTAATATTAATAGTTGAGATCATGAATCATTTGAAGCTAGACCACCATGGAAAACCTGGAAGCACTGAACGGCCGTTTCATCCTATTGTGGAACTCTTCAGTAGTGCGCATCCACGATCCCACCTCGAGAGATTTGAACCCATGACCTATCAGTCTCGCACGCTAGCGCTTAACTTCTAGAACCACTGAGTTGGCATCCAACGGTGTTAATTTCTAATTTGAACCAATCCACGAAATTGAGCAACCATCCACCAATGTCTTCAGTGAGTCACTATCTCACAACAGACCTGTTTGAACTCCACTGGTCACTGCTTCTTACTAGAGCTCCAGGAAATACCTCATGGAACCAGTCACTAGTCAGCATATGTTGATTATTATCAGAAGGGGCAATCACATCACTTGGTTTATTATTTCTACTCAATCAATGTGTGCTTATTTTTGAGGTGAGTCTCTATTTTATTTAACATTTTCACTTGACAATGATCAATATGTGTTGTCAACACACGTTTTGGTATGAAAGTCATATAAACAAAACAATAACTCTGTACTGGCCAACTCTTGTCTAATATCAGAGGAGGGTTTCGTGGAGATTTTAGTAATTTTATAGTTAAGACCATAAATCAATTGAAGATAGACCACCATGGAAAACCTGAAAGCAGTGGACGGCCGTTTCATCCTATTATGGGACTCCTCAGCTGTGCGCATCCACTATCCCGCCTAGCGAGATTTGAACCGAGGACCTACCAGTCTCATGTCATTTATACAACATAAATGTCAGAAAAACAAACTATAACTGTATAATATAAGAACTCACTGTCATTCAAAACCTCCAATTCAGAACACGAAGTGACTGATAAACGAGTTATGATGAATCCAAGGTATCTTTCTCTCGATATACTTATTTCATCTGTGTTTATTTAATAAAAACATACAGATGCATTAACCATTTTACATTGAATGAATAACAGATTATGAAGTAAACTAAAAACTTAAATGAATTGCATGGACGGTAGTTAAGTTTCTGTAAGGTGTCAAACTATTGACACTTTGAACAAGAAAAGATCTTCAAAAAAGTTTTGGATGTTACAAGGAGTTCTGGTGAGCCACCACAGAGTATTGAAGAAATTGAATCAATATTGATTCATGAAATGAAATGTGATCAAGAAACCTTAGTAACAAATTTGACTTACCTTCAGAGTCAATCATAAAATTATTCATGTAACTATGGTAATATTGATTTGAGAGTTTCAGTGAAACATACTAAAAGAATAAGGTACCTCCGTTACAAAATATAGGCAACTTACTTGATGATCAAGGGATTTATTTACAAAGCCATTCATAACTGGATAAGTATTTATAATGGAGAGACTAAGTATGTGTGTATTAGAATCTGACTGATTACTTACATATTGATATGAACTATTCTCAAAAATTACTTTTACATCATTTTTTTTTTAAATTCAGGTTGTTCGCAGGTATTTTGGCAGGCGAAAGATTCCAAGAGAAAGACGAGAGACAAGGTGAAAAATTGTATTCAAAATGGTTCAGGTGAATAAAGCAAAGTTATCGTATTGAATTGATGTCCAATTCGTATGATGCACATACATTAACTTCGTGTGTTCAACTAACATTCACCTCATCTTCTCGTTCAAAGTAGTAAATTAAATATTAATAGAAGTTGTCAGGTTAATATAGATTTTTTAAGTGCTTTGTTGTCGCTTTCTGATTTGATAATTCAAAGTGACCATTAAGAAGGTCAAATGTGTTCAAATTTTATGTTTATTGTTAATCAATCATGGTGTTAGATGAACGCATCATTAATCAATATTATTCTGTCCTTTGAGAACATAAGCTGACATTTATCCATCGTTAGTTGGAATTCCTAATCCGTATTGATGAAACTTTTCTTGAATGTGACTATCAATAATTTGAAATTAACTATGGGTTAACTTGTAGTTGAAAACGTGTACTCATATGTATTATGAGCAAAGATGGATAGTGGCTAACAGTGGAATCTAAGACGCGCATCAGCTGGATGCACCTACACCTCAGAGTTGATGTTCACTCTGGGACTCAAACTCAGCACCGTTCGCTTCAAACACCATAACGTTATCCATTTAGTTACTGAGTCCTGATAGGCACTCATATGTTCGTGAACGAACTTTTTGTTGCTTGTAATAATCTGTTAGTTAGCTGTCAATCGGGAATTGTTGTAATATGGTTAAGTAGAATTGAAGTAACACAAACTGTTTTGATCGGATGACAAAATTGACACTTTTACACTTGAATGTTAATTCAATAAACACATGCTATCAGACAATTTTATTATCGTTTAGTATGAGATGGTAGCTTCTGAACAAAGTCACATTATTGAAAGCGCGAGTCAACTGAAATTAGACAACTACGGAAAATCTGGGAGCATAAATTCTATTTGACCAACTTATATCCTTGATTATTAGGTATTCAGATTGAAAGAGATAATAATTTTCATATTGACCACGTAGAGATGGAACTGAATATTCACAGTTGTCTAGAAATAGGTGGTCAATAACAAGTACTCAGTATGATGAGATACGACTGAAGAAATAAAGAAAATTTAGGTAACAGATGTGATTCACTCCTACGATATACCGATGACCTGCCCACCAGCTAATGACATCGTGAATTCATTGAATTTCTCTAACTACCTAATAATGAATTGGCCTCCATTCATTCTATAAACATTATATGCATTCGAGAATCAGAGCTGATCATATTCAAATTCTCTCCGATTTATCAGATTAAATATTATTAGATAACATCAAATAACATCATTTTTAGTATATTCTAATGGGTTTTGTGGATAGTACAGTGATTTCAATAGTTGAGATCATGAGTCACTTTAAGGTAGATCACCATGGAAAACATGGAAGAACTGGACAGTCGTTTCGTCCCATTGTGGGACTCCAATGTTTCCAGAATTTCCATGATAGTTCAACTTCGATTAATTCATGGTCTCAACTATTGAAATTTCTCTTATACCCTGAACATCTTTCTATATAAGAATGATTCTTTTCATAATCACCAAATGAGTTTTTAATTAACAAACACAATTCTCTTGACCTTACTTATTCTTTGTACAAATAACATTCATTATATTTTCATATAAGAAATACTTTTCTTAAAGTAACAATAATAATAATATTACTACTACTAATAACACTACTACTACTGCTACTACAACTACTACTACTACTACTAATAATAATAATAATAATAATAATAATACTACCAATACTACTACTACTACTATTACTACCACTACTACTACCAATACTACTACTACCAATACTACTGCTACTACAACTACTACTACTATTACTACTACTACTACTAATACTACTACTGATAATAATAATAATAATAGTAATAGTGTACACGATCTGATGGTGTGATTTGTATATATCTCTCCGTTGACCTAATCTGTTGTTTTGTAGAAATTTCTGATGATTATAGTTTCTTTTTGTTTATCACCACATTCTTTATAATTAATGAAATGATATGGTAACTCTCTATTGTATAGTGAGTGTGATATGAATCTTAAATATAATAAGGAATGTCGTTTTCTAATAGTACATTCATATGACTGACAATCGTATACAGTACACAGAAGAAATATGAATGAAACTTTCACCATACAAAATGATTATTACTTACCTGGAGAGAAAGTATAGTGAAGACAAATGGTTTATCCGTCAATTCATAGAAGGTCTTGCTTCAACAATGAACAAACACTGTAATCAATTACCATCTCATTTCGAATGAGTCTGATGTTCACTTTCTTCTAGAATCATCTAGTTCTCAACTCCTCATTTTATCAATCGATGGAACGACCATTAGTAATCCCGATGATTTCAGACTCGATTAGTTAACACGTTTCTTGTGTATTGACTATGAGGTTTTGGTCAATCATCTTGATGACAAAGTCCACATCACGTTCTGTATATCGTTTTATACCAATCCCTATGACAGAGAAACTGATCGACAGTCAATATCCTGAATAGACACACTTCACTGTTGACCGAATCCATGTCTGTGTTAAATATGGATTGAAGTTGGATATCATTGTTTGGTTGACACGATCATATTATACAGGAGATCGAACACACTTTGAAATATCATTCGACATTGAAATTCGTCCTAATTCTGTAACAGAATCGAAATGAATTTCTCTGTAACGAAGTAATGGTAGATGAATATTTGAATAGACTGCAAGCTAGTTCTGTCCTAACAACTTCAAATTCATACACTCAGTTGATGTTATTGAGGAGATACTTCGATTAAGTTAGACAATGTCCAGTGTTTTTAGTGCAACGGCGGAAATTCGTGGAGTCATGTTTCATGGTGTTTAGTAGAGGTCAGTAAAGTGAACATTCACTCTTGAAGAGACCAATACTCCTTGTGTGATCCGAACTCTTATCACTCAACTTTGTAGTATGAGAAATATTGTAATGTATTTCTCTAGGATGCTGACATTCAATGGAGCAACCTTGAATATTGTTCCGTCATCACCCTACAAAAAAATGCTACCTAATGTCAAAGATTAATGGGTTTGAAACGTGATATGCGGAGAGTAGAGAACGATGTCTGGTTTCCAACGCCTTTTTCTAACTTCTTTTTCAGATGGAAGCTGGTTTGTTATGTCCCACAGTAGTATGTTGCTAATAGTGTCTATGCAACGGATATTAAGTATCTTGTGTAGACAATTGTGTGAATAAATAAAAAATAAATGAATTTCAGTCATCACACTTAGAGTGCGACTCGAGAAGTAGTTGATTTAGGAGATACCACTGTTCAACAGAAACATACTATACTCGATAAACTGTATTCGTTTGACCCGAACACAACATGTGCTTCCTTGATCCTCTCAAAAAAGTTCATACTGAGGACTGTCACTTGACGATTTAGTAAGCAATACGTGCTTGAATATCACATATAATCATCACATCTATTTGAGTTCTTCTAATGTAATATGTGTGTCCACATAAGAAATAGTTTCCTTAATGTAATAGCAATAATAGTAATAGTGTTGAAGATACCAAGGTATTGTAGTTTGACAACACTTTACCAGTAACAGTCGCTCCCCGATATTTTGATAACCCATTAACTATATCCTCCAACCTCCTCGCTTCCGACTTTTGATTTCACTGGGTGGGCGCGATTCAATTATAGGTAGTAGTAGTAGTATTGGTAGTAGTAGTGGTAGTAGTAGTAGTGGTAGTAGTAATAGTAGTAGTGGTAGTAGTAGTAGTAGTATTGGTAGTAGTAGTATTGGTAGTAGTAGTGGTAATAGTAGTAGTATTGGTAGTAGTATTATTATTATTAGTAGTAGTAGTGGTAGTAGTAGTAGTAGTGGTAGTGGTAGTAATAGTAGTAGTAGTAGTATTGGTAGTAGTAGTATTGGTAGTAGTAGTGGTAGTAGTATTGGTAGTAGTAGTGGTAGTAGTAGTAGTAGTATTGGTAGTAGTAGTATTGATAGTAGTAGTGGTAGTAGTAGTGGTAGTAGTAGTAGTAGTAGTAGTATTGGTAGTATTATTATTATTAGTAGTAGTAGTGGTAGTAGTAGTAGTGGTAGTATTGGTAGTATTATTATTATTAGTAGTAGTAGTGTTATTAGTAGTAGTAATATTATTATTGTTATTATTGTTATTGTTACTTTAAGAAAAGTATTTCTTATATGAAAATATAATGAATGTTATTTGTACAAAGAATAAGTAAGGTCAAGAGAATTGTGTTTGTTAATTAAAAACTCATTTGGTGATTATGAAAAGAATCATTCTTATATAGAAAGATGTTCAGGGTATAAGAGAAATTTCAATAGTTGAGACCATGAATTAATCGAAGTTGAACTATCATGGAAATTCTGGAAACATTGGAGTCCCACAATGGGACGAAACGACTGTCCAGTTCTTCCATGTTTTCCATGGTGATCTACCTTAAAGTGACTCATGATCTCAACTATTGAAATCACTGTACTATCCACAAAACCCATTAGAATATACTAAAAATGATGTTATTTGATGTTATCTAATAATATTTAATCTGATAAATCGAATATGTTCATCTCTCATTCTTTAATGCATATAATGTTTATAGAATGAATGGAGGTCAATGCATCATTAGGTAGTTAGAGAAATTCAATGAATTCACGATGTCATTAGCTGGTAGGTTGGTCATCTGTATATTATAAGGGTATATCACATCTGTTACTAAATTTACCTTAGTTCTTCAGTCGTATCTTATCATACTGAGTACCTGTTATTACAGTTTTTAATGGAGAAATCAATCTTCAATTGAACAGTTGCTGATACCATTATTGTAAACATGTTTATTTCCAGAAGTATGATGAAACAATTGACAATGTAAAATGAACGCCAAAACTCATTTCGATCGACTGGTGTTAAGTGGACTTTTGGGAAGATTGCGTTAAACAATTTCAATTTGATGCAATAGAAAATGACCACAATTTTGAGATATTCACATAGATTAAATGATTTTTAAATGATCAGGGTTCGTCATACACTGCATTCTACAACTTGACATATAGACTAGATTATTCAAGCATGTGTATAAATAGAGGTGATTGAGAATTGTCAGTTGAAGTACATTTTCTTAAAAAGGAGTATTGATGATGTTTGAACCTTATTGCAAGAACGACGAATACTCAAGTGGTGTAAAGGAACACTCAGATTGAATTATGCAAACGGTTGTCATCTGAAGGTAAACTGATCAAGAATTCCACTGTCGAATGTTCCATAGTAGTTCGGAAATGAAAATATTGATCAGTTCAGAATGTGTGGTTATTCGTTTGTCATCGAGTGGTATCTTACTCATCTTAAATACAAAATCTGATAATGAACTTCAAGCAATGATTTGTGAGATGAAAGATTTAGTGGTTGTAGAATTGAATCTGTTTTCTTTCATTGTTTCGACGTAATCAGGACACACTGCGGGGAATAATTGCAATACTTCTTTTTAGATTCCAACAGAAATTCAGCAAAGTAATGTTGTCATAATCACACAGATATATCCTCTCTATCTCAAAATATATATGATCGTTATTCAGAAGTTTCATTCCTTTCATATTTCTGATACTTTTACTGCTTCTACTATCCTGACATTTTCCTTTTTATGTTCTACCGATGTAGTGTGACACCTTGAATTGTTGTATACAACCCCACGTCTTATGTTGTCCATAACTGACAGACCTCAATTTTAATTTACACACAATGTAATTATGCTTCAACAAATCAATTTCACCTTTAATGTTTCGACTTCCACTTATTATTAACTTTCTGTTTAATTTTTCCACCTGTAAAACGATTATGAAATCGAAACCGATTTCATACCAACAGCTGAGTTGAAAACTTTGTTTTACACTTCTTGCTACTTATTTAAATAATCAGTAGCCTGATTCACCAACTAATTTAATCTGGACGATTGTGGCGTTGCATGATATGTGCACAACTTAATCCACTATAGGGTAGTAAGAATGTACGGTAGCACAGTACAAAGTCGAACTACTTTCTTAGATGTAGAAAAACCATTTTTCAAGATTTTATATTTTTAGTTAGCATTCATATAGCTACAATTAATTTGTGAGGCCGAGAGTTAGGAGAGTCCGCTATCCCCCTCCACATACTCTTACATGGACACGCGTATATAGCTTCTGCCACAGAAGTCCTACTTACTGCCTTCTCGCACCATGGGTGTTGTTTACGAAATTGAGAGGACGAAAAGCTAATGTCCGGTTCTATAACAGGGTCGGTGGACACGGAAAGTCCACCTAGGGGAGTTGGAGAACCCTCATTCCAAACCAATGATGCACATGGGCTCCAGTATCCTGAAGGAACGAATGACGTATGAATCAATCGTTGGTCACCGGCTACTATGGGACTGCATCTCCTCACGATGCTCCACTGCCTTGTGAACCAGACCTTTAGGTTAAAAGCTCCGAGTATGTCCCAATAAGAAAACCACCTGCTTCAGTTTGGGCATCTGGGCAGTATCACAGCCCTCACACAAATCAAATGAAATTTGTACGGCGCATATATATCTGGTGCCTCTATGTACCAATATTTATGTGTTTAAATAAATAAATTTTTCAACAATGATGCCAATCAATAACAGACAGTAAGTACCACTCTTAAATTCTAGTTATCACAAATTAACTGAAGTTAACAATGTGTGCTAAAGTACTTGAAGTCAATAACTAGAAATTGTCATTCTCATTGCAAAACATCAAGATCTTATTTATAGTCATAGGTATGCACCCGTTGAGAATCCATTCCCTACTCAAATCGAAATGCGACTCTTCTGTTTTTTATTCAATTATAACAGTTACCTCAATTTATGTCAATCATTACTCAATATATTAGTCCCTAGTAAATTGATGGTGAAAGCAATAAATTGATGACAAAAACTTAACTAGCACATTTAATTGACAATAAAAATTTCCACATCTTCATAACCAATTATAAGGATTTCCAATGTCATACAGTTTATATTCATTTTAATCAATGTCTGAGCTTCTTCAAGTCAGCCAGAATGTAGAACTTCGTACGTAAGTACATCAGTTCGAGTTGCCATACCACATTAGCATAGAGATGCAGTTGTCGATTCAAATCCCATAGTGGTAGAAGTAGTAAGAGTATAAGCAGTGACCCGAAAGATAAGGGTTTGAAGATGTTATTGAAGGAGTATAATACAGTGGAATAAATTTGGAAAGAGAAAAAGGATAGGGACGTGAAGAACTCAGAAGGTTGGAATTTGGTAGAACACAAAGAGTGGATTCACCTTCGCCATTTCAAACGATTTTGAGCCATCTCATTCAAGGTCTCTAACCATCGACTGCTATCATCTCGCAAATCCCAACCAGGTAAGTCTACACCTGGCAGCGTGACTCAGTCAAATGGTCAGCGACTTCATGGATTTATGCCATGTTTTGGTCTGGCCGCCCCTAGCTTTCTTCCAACCTACTCCTACACCTGAGCTTCTTAAATAGATATAACTCATTTATCAAATATATATTAACGTATCAGAATAGGGTTATGGAGATTGGTGAGTTTCATTGAGATAATGAACCAATCAATGTTAGACCACAATTCAAAACCTCGAAAGACTGGTTAGCCGTTTCATCCTAGTATGGGATTCATCAGCAGTGAGCATCTATGATCCCGAATACAAAAATAGAACCTAGGACCTCCAATTTCGTGTGCGAACATTTAACCTCTAGACCATTGAGCCGGTGTCCAATGGTATTAATGTTTAATATATTTATACTTGGGTTAGTTATGCTGTATGATGTTAATATCAAAGTAGGTGAATTAACGTTTGAACTTGAAACTTTATGGTTGAAAGTTGGGTGACTAAAGCAATAACTCCCATCCCTTCACTATTGAAAGGAGACTATGATATCATTTCAACTTACAAATTGATAAATTAGATAATTGTCAGTAGTGGAAATTACAACATGAACTATGATCAGTTTGGGACTTATCATCAATTGAATATACCTCCATCTTATTATTGATGTTCACAATGAAACTGGAACCCAATATTCATGCACAATTTTAAACAACTAAACTTTATCCATTAGAGATTACTGTGAATTGGGTGACGTTTAAATTCACTTAGTATTGCTTGTTTGAATCTTCCCATTGATGTTTAGGATTGCAGCTGGTCAGTCTCTCATTGGCATATGTGCATACTGTGCATGTTGCCTCAATATTGCCTTAATTCACAAGCATTATAAACAAAGAGTGAACATCAACTCTGAGATGCAGGTACATCCAGCTGACGAGTCTCAAATAGGACGAAACGCGCATCAAACTGGTTTCCACCACTGCTAGCCACTATCCTTCATCTTTGTTTACATTTACATTTAGTTTACAAAAGTACATTTACATGTAATTATGTATATTTATGATGAAATACAGACTCTTTTTTTAAGATATCCAAATTGATATATATAATTTCATAAATTAAAAAATCTACAAAAAAGCAAAGGCAAAACACACTTATAAAGGTCATGTACACTCGGAGACAACATAGTGACAGTATATGGACTAAATAGTTGAGGGAAATCAAACAAAACAATTGAATAATAAGGCAATATAACCATAAACTTAAAAAAAGAAGAAAAGGACGAAACAAGAGAATCAGTCAGTCAGTCAGCTACAACGTAGGACTAGGCATATTTATACATCGGTTTTCAACATGAACAATCTAAACAACTAATACTTTTATATTGATGAATGATGATGAAAGAATGATGTGAAAAAGGTGACCGGGTAAAGATGAAGTTCACTAATTCATTCAGTTGCTTTTCATCTATAAATGATACATAGTTAATATGATTGTTTTAATTCACAGAAAATTATTATGTTCATATGTGTTTTAGGCATTTAATTCTAAACCAATGCCCATTTTTGTTAGATCTGGACCATTAAAAACTCCACTTAATGTTAATTGAAGACCTGTAATAGAATAGAAAGAGAGAAAGGAGATGTAAACAAACACATAATTGTATATGTATATATAATCAACGTTTATTGCCCCCGAATGCCCTGGTACGACCGAGGGTGGGGAAAGTCTGCTCTCCCTTTCGAAATGCTGTCACATGGCCACACGTATACAACCACTGCTAGGGAAGTCCTACTCACTGCCTTCTTGCACCAGGGGTGTTCCTCGTATGTCGTATTACCATAAAATAACGATAAACGTAAGTTCCACAATAATGTAAAACATCTTCCTATAAACTTATTTGCCTGGTACGTAAGTATGAGTCAAACTCTAAGTGCGATGTCTGATGTTTATTTATTTATTTGAACATATTAATATTGGTACAAAGGGGCATCAAATGTATATGAGTCAAACAAGTCACTTGGTTTGTCTGTGGGCCATGATACTTTCTGGGTGCCCAGACCGGAAGAGGTGGTTTTCTTAGGCGGCCACAACCGGAGCCTTCGATCTAAAGGTCTGATCCATAAGGCAGTTGAGCGACATTAGGAGATGCAATCACATAGTAGCCGGTGAATAACAATTGGTTTATACGTCATTTGTCTCCTTAGGATCCTGGAGCTCATGTTCACCATCGGTTTTAAATAAGGGTTCTCAAACTCCCCTGGATGGATCCTCCATATCCACCAACCAGGTTAAAGCGCCGGACATTCGCTCTTCGTCTTCTCAACTTGGTAAACAACACTCCTGGTCCGAGGAGTGATACTAGTACTGGCTGATTGGTATAGAGACTTGGCATTTGGCCACAAGACAGTAGGTTATGGGTTCGAATCCTCTCTGACAACAGCATTGCACAATTTTCACTGCTTCGGTTTGGGCACCCGGGCAGTATCACAGCCCACACACAAATAAATGAAATGAAATGAATTTTATTGACGATACTATTCCTGCTCATACTGGAAGCAAGACAATTTACGTTATCATTATTATTATTATTATTATTACTATTATTATTATTATTTACTACGTCGCTTTTTCACTCCCTTTATTCCGAAATTGTGTATCCTTCTTTTCCAACTTATGCAGTAGCTCGCCCATGGTGGAAAATCTGTCCTATCTAAACGATCTCCAGTCATTGTCTGGTTGAAAGTGAATGCTTCCACCGATTACGAATACTGAAGCAGTCTTTCTGAAACCACGTACGCCGTTCAAGCTGGCTTCCTTCAACGTTCGCACACTAATGCAGATCAGACAACAGATAGGGCTGGCTATGTCTTTGGAAGGTCTTAATGTTGATGTCTGTTGTCTATCCGAGACCCGTATTCAAGACTCTAGTGAAGTACTACAAATCCGCTCATCTGTCGCCTCGAAAAGCTTGTTCCACGTGCGCTTATCCGGGGACCCTGTGGCATCTTCGTCTGGTCTTGCTGGCGTTGGTGTCGCATTAAGCGCTAGGGCTGAGGCAGCAATAATCGATTGGATCCCCATTAACAGTCGGTTATGTGCTATTAGATTAGAAAGTTCCATCAAAGTGAGAAAAAATTGGAGTGAGAAACGGTGTCTTTTCGTTATCTCTGCCTATGCCCCGACAGATTGCAGCCCGGATGCAATCAAGGATGAGTTTTACCATCAGTTAACAGTTCTTTTCCAGAAAGCGCGTTCGACAGATATTGTAGTACTAGCCGGAGGCTTGAATGCACAGGTCGGGCGTCTAGGCACAGAAGAGAGTCGTTTAGGTGGCCGATGGGGACTTGTTCGTCGCAGGACAGATAACGGGGACCGTTTGCTGCAACTGTGCACAGACCACAACCTGTTTCTGGCCAGCACTAACTTCCGGCACAGTCATCGCCGGTGTGCTACCTGGCGTCCTCCCTCTGCATCCCAAGCCTGGACTCAGATTGATCACATCGCGATCAGCTACCGCTGGCGTGGCTGTGTACAAGACTGCCGCTCCTTTTGAAGTACCTATCTGGAGTCTGATCATGCCCTGGTCTGCGCCAATCTCACCTTACTTTTCAGTGGTCGAAGGATTGACCACCACCAACGGATTGATGTTAGTAAACTGGCTGCAACTTCTGTTGCAAGTAAGTATCGAGCGGAGCTAGCCTCTAGGCTAGCTACCACCCCACCGAAAAGTATAGATGAGCATTGGTTGCTTCTTCACGACGCCATGAAAATGGCGAGTAAAGCCGCTTGCGGCTTCGCGAAACGTCCCACTTACAAGCACTGGGTTTCTTCTGGCTCCTTACAACTGATGGAAGCCCGTCGGTCTACTCCGGGTGACCGTGAGTTTGACCACAAACGAAGGCTGTTACGTAATGAAAACGGGCAAAGCTCGCGTAAGGACCGGGAAGCCTGGTGGTCGGAGAGTGCTAATGAGTTGGAAGCAGCAGCTGCATCTGGTAACTGCCGGAAGCTCTTCCAACTCATCCGAGCCACTGGAAGCAAGAAGTCTGGTGTGAGTGAAACAATCTACGAGGATGATGGGATGCCAATCACTAATATCTCTCGACGTCTTGGACGATGGGCGGAATTCTTCGAAGGGCAGTTCAACTGGCCTGTTGCTCCGGCAACATCAACCAGCTTGTCCTGCCCCCCATGGCCGCTGACGACTGATCCACCAAACGAGGCGGAAGTCCGCAAGGAACTCCAACTCTTGAAACGTTATAAATCACCTGGCCCAGATGACTTACCTCCGGCTCTTTTTAAAGATGGTGGTGACCTTCTGACTAAGGAACTGACTGTGTTGTTTGGAAAGGTTTGGGAACAAGAAAGTGTTCCAACATCATGGAATGAGTCGATAGTCGTCCCTATCTTTAAAAAGAGTTCACGTTGTTCCTGCAATAACTATCGGGGGATAAGTCTACTTTCGATTGCGTCCAAACTATTGGCTTCTATCATTCTTCGTAGGTTGTTTAAAACCCGAGAACGATTGACTCACGAGGAGCAGGCTGGTTTTCGTTCTGGTCGAGGATGCATTGATCACATCTTCACCCTCCGCCAAATGTTAGAACACCGTCATACTTATCGCAGGCCAACAATCGTAGTGTTTCTTGATATCAGGGCGGCCTTCGATTCGTTGGACAGGACTGCTCTCTGGGATTGTCCATTGAAGAAGGGTGTGTCTGAGAAGTTCATTAACATCTTAAAGGCCCTGTATACGAACACCTCAGGCAGAGTGAGGGCATACAACCACCTTTCTTCCTTGTTCCATTCGAGCAGTGGGGTTAGGCAGGGTTGCCCGATCTCACCATTCCTCTTCAACTTTGCTATCGATGATATCCTGGAAACAGCTCTGATGGATGTAAGTAATGGCGGTGTGGATGTGTTGCCTGGAGAACGACTTCTCGACCTCGAGTATGCGGATGATATTGTCTTACTGTGCGATAATGCTCAAGCCATGCAATCCGCAATTAATCAGTTGGCAATCAGTGTCCGCAGGTACGGCATGTGCTTTGCACCCTCCAAGTGCAAAGTACTCCTACAAGACTGGCAGGATTCTTATCCTGTACTCACCCTGGATGGTGAGCAGATTGAAGTAGTTGAGAAGTTCTTGTATCTAGGCAGCTATATAAGTGCTGGTGGTGGCGTGAGTGATGAGATTGATGCACGTATAATGAAAGCCAGAGCGGCTTATGCCAATCTGGGCCATCTTTGGCGCCTTCGTGATGTTAGTCTGGCTGTAAAAAGTCGGATCTACAACGCGTCGGTGAGAGCAGTTTTGCTCTATGCTTGTGAAACCTGGCCTCTCCGAGTTGAGGATGTTAGACGACTCTGTGTTCGATCATCGTTGTCTCCGAAGGATTGCTGACATCCAGTGGCAACACCACGTTAGTAATGCAGAGGTTCGGCATCGTGTGTTCGGGCACAGAGACGATAATTCAATTGGTGTCACCATCTTGAAACACCGACTTCGGTGGCTTGGACATGTTTTACGAATGTCGTCCCAGAGACTTCCACGTCGTGCATTATTTGCCGACCCTGGGACTGGTTGGAAAAAGCGGAGAGGAGGTCAGTGTATGACATGGTGTCGTGGCATGAAAGAGAGCTGCAAAGGGCTAGCTTCCGTTGGTCCTTCACGACTCCCTGGTTGGGGTCCGAGAGATGGTGCAACACAGTGGCTAGAGACGTTATCAGATATGGCTCAGAATAGAAGCCAGTGGCGATCCTGCTGCAACCTTCTTTTACTTTCTTCATAAAGAGTGGTTCTAACTTTCTTAACTGAAAGAGTTTTCCGGTTGTACATTTTAGTCCGTGTTATCTTTTCATCCTTTCTCTTCCTACTTTCATTATTTTGTGTGGCGCATATGTATCTGGTGCCCTTTTGTACCAATATATATGTGTTTAAATAATAATAATAATAATAAAACATTTTGTGGGTAAACATGTCGTTTCTTTCATTTGAATTAAGATAGTATCATATAGATAAGTATTTAAGTCGATGTACTTTAACTCACCTTTTGATAAATATGTCGTAAAAGCCAAACTGATCTGATTTAAATGATCTAGTCTCAATTTCACAGAATGCTTTTTTTGATTATCTAATATATATTGTGATCCGACAGCCCAGACAGTTTCATCTGGAACACGTTTCCATGTAATCTATGATTAATTAAAGAGTAAAAAGTTAGATGATTTAAAAGATATTATTTTTAAATAAAATTAACACCCATTAACCTTTGTGGAGTAAGGTGAGATATCAAGAGTTTTAAATGGAATTCGCAATTTTAAAGGTTCCTCACTTAATAAACGATGGTAATAGTAACATATATGTTCGTTCTAATGATAGTCTGTCCCTCTCTGATAATCTAGGAACTGTGTGTTATTTCCTTAAAGAGATTCTTTCTTATGTATGGCTAGAAAGTTACAAAAAAAACTGAAATAATCTTTCACTATACTCAGGTTACTTTTCTACTGATAATGAACTATTAATTCAGTAATAATCTAGGAAAAATGACATGAAGTAAACAACTAAATTGAAGGAAGAGGCAGTTATTTCTCTTTGAATCCTTTAATATGGATGTACATCCAAATGATGAGCCTCAAATAAGTCGAAATACTTGTCCTGGTTTACACTGCCAGACAGTAAATAATTTTACTGAAAAATTGTGACTGAGTGAAGAGATCGAGGCAATCCATCCACGAAGCACAAACCCCAAAATAGACTGATAAATTGCAGTCCTTAACAATATCGAGGAGGTCCAAACAAAAAGCAAAGATTAGAACCTTGATTAAGAAGTAAAGATTGAAAACTGTCAAGCAAAACAACAAAAACGTTAAGGGAAAAATAGTCAACTTGTGTCATTAAAAAAACTAAAAAAATTTGAGATTATACTTACTGAACCTGCTATATGTAGACGATCAGTTATGCGCTGAAAGATGCTGGCTGAAAATTGTTTACCCCAATGTGTAATTAAACCATGAAAACTAAAATCTTGTACTGTGTAACCGACAGCAAAATTAGCTTTCTGTAAAATTTGATTTGTGCAATCCAATTTAACATCTGCACCAGCCAAATAGCCTTGGTAACTGATATTATGGAAAACAATTTGAAGATGCAAATGCACGATTTAAATATAATAGGGAATTTAGAACACATAATGAACGAATTAATGAATGACGCCATAATTTTGGAGGTTTACAGAAATACGATACGAAGAAAAAATTGTGGGCACTTTTGAAGCCTTTTGACGTATTTTGTGAATTAGCTATGCAGAATGGCAAGTTCCGTGAAGCCTGACTAAAAAACATCGTGAATTGAGTGTAGCTAGATTTGCGTACCATTAGACCTGGTTTCAGTGCTCTACAGCCTAGGCATTCGCACATGAGACTGAGGTCTTGGGTTTGATCTTTGATTGAAGGGTCGTAGATGAGCACTGCTGACGAGTTTAATGCCACGACGAAACGGCCGTCTGATGTTTTGAGGTTTTCAATAGTTGCTTATCTCAGATTGGTTCGCGATTTCAACGATATATATATGCAGTTTAAAAACTCAAAGTGCCAATTATTAAGTCATATTTTTGCATAATCTCAGTGAATATTTGGGAAACAAACGTGGTTAAGAGAACTAAAATAGTTAAGTACGTCAAACTTAGTATTCAGCTAGAAAGCTAAGTAGTTTGTGAACTAGAACTCAGAATAGTTGTTATCAGTGCACTAGAAGACGGGAAGAAAGCTACCAAACTCGTTTTTTCAAGGGTTTTTAAAAAACAATTGACCGTAGTTCCGAACTTACTTAATAACAAAGGATGGCGACAAATCAGGGATAGCAGACTTGAAGAACATTTCGACGTTAGAATTCACATGCTTGTTCCGAAAAGAATTGACCAAGTTGGCATGAAAACAACTAAGTAGTTAGTCAATAAGAGTTTCCTACTTTTGAAAAGGATCGCGAGAAATTTGAAAAGTTTGTTTCAACCCGTCAACTAATTTGTCCTCAAATACTATTTCTCCATCAACTAGATTGTTGGAAGACCACTTTTTCGTAATGGTGAGACCATATTGTGGAAAGGAAAACTTTTCTTGCAGGTCAAAATGCATCTGAGAAAATAATTAAATGTAAATATAACAGTTAATGATGTTTATATACCCTATTTGGTTTAGGCCGATCACTGATATTGGCTTTAAATTCAATTTCATTTTTCTTTGTCGTGCAGTGAATATTATACAGTCCAAAATAAAACTTTTTAAAGAGTAGGTCCCGTGCATCTTTACCAAGATCCGAGAACGCAGGGGGAACCATAGTATACTAGAGAGTAACGCTTATACTGAATTTAGTACTTCAAACTTCAAGTGTATCAACAGTTTCGGTTTGATAAAATTTGAGCTATCTTCCTATGTGAAATAATTGATTTATTTGCTCTCGTAATTTGATATTGAACGGTATTTTCATATTAACTAACAGGATTAAGTTGCCATTTACAAAAACCTGATCTCAATACGTCCGTAATACCCTTTCTTCCCATTATCATAAATATAACTTTGACTGTATTAAAGGAACAGGATATCCCGGTCCTTAGATTAGGATAGACAGGACCATCTGGTTATCTGGTCAGTCAGTTTCTATGTAGTACAATATTAGTTAGATAGGTATACCTTTCCAGAGTACTGTCTAGCAAGGTTGACACCAGAAGCTTAGCAATAAAAGCAGGTCCCAGTTCAGCTCAGAACACTAGTATAACTTCAAAATAATCCAGCTTGTACAATTCCCCAGAACCATCGCAGCTAATAACTAGATAAATCATCATTGTAGGTGGTCTGTGTCGAAGATTGAGGGACGTACCATAGTTGGACGGGAATGGAGTTACATGGGCAGTGGAATGTCACTGAACCCTGGCCAAATCATCCAGCAGTTGGATTACTGAATATTGAACAGATCATCGTTCCCTATCAAAGTCAAGAACAACCAACGCGTATCAGTTAATCATACTCCATGGACTGGCCTATGTGGTGGTGGTCTCAGTAACATCTCTGTACTCATTCTTACTAGTATATTTATGTAATAACGTCCTCCAAGTTATACAGTCTTCGAAGCAGCCACAGTACTTTGATACATTGAAGGGGTAATCCACGTTAGGTGCTGACCGTGAGGTGTGACTTCAAAGTTGGCTGGTTCGTCACACCATTCGCATCTAACTCGAGTAGGCCCCCAATCATTCGACAGAGATTTTCGCCGTTGATGATCTACAAGTGGGTACAAGAAATCGATTGCCACCTCTGCTGCATGGACCAGTCCATAGAGTGTAATCGATTGATCCTTGTTGTTTGACGTTGGTGAGGATCGGTAAACTGTTTGACGCCCAGTCACTTGACTGACAAGTGTTTTGGCTAAGGCTGGATGGTATTTCACAAGTACTATAGAAAGGTAGATTCACGTGCTTCCACCGAGAGAGATATAGCTTGGTAGGGACAAAGGCAAATTATGCACTCTCCCGGTCGGCAAAAGTGATCCCTAATTTGACCAAAATACATGCGCAGAACTGTTGCACAACTATTACAAACCGACGGTACGCAGAGAAAACTACGGATTGATAATGAGTAACCACTACTCATTATTCTGGAACATGTGCGTTGTATGTAAAAAAACTTTTCAATCGAGTCTCTTTTCAAGTCCACACCAAACATTCTCCCTAAAAAGCAGCTGACGTGAGAATCACAAGGGTTTCAGAATAGGTGATTTCAGAAACCAGTTCTATGGAACGGTGTAAGGGGTTTTGAGGAAGTCTTACAACTACTCCAACAAACTTCTACACAGATAAATCTACAGCCTAATTTCAAGGCATACATTCAGCGGTGGACAGAAGAAAACTGGTGGTATCTCTTGACAAAGTTATTCTTAACAATGTCGAGCCCAAGACAATAAACAGCGAAGGAAAAAATTCTGACTTTCAGCATAAATCCCTAAAGCTCTTAGTATTCCACTGTCAAGTAATAGTTTATTAGAAAATCAAGGCGCTTTTAAAATTATAGTCCAGTCCGGCATTGATACATTTATCTTCGGCGCTATAATAATATAACTTATACTAAAATGGTAAATTCGTCATGTTGTGACTTCCTAATTTGTAAGAACCTGCATGGAAGGCACATCATTGTCTATACTTACTCGTCCTATGGTGACAGTCAATAATATGGTATTCAGTACTCCTGAAGAACACCTTTTGTCTGGGGACAAAATACTATATTTAAGTTGAAAGGGTAAGAGTTACACAAAATGACCACGCTTGCAAAGCTGAGTCATGCCATACCGGTCAAACTTTTCCCCGTTCGTCATCGCTAATCATCTCTTAGAGTTACTTGTTGAATGTAAGTTTTCTTAGTAATTAAACGCCTATCTTCGAATATGGTGGGGTTGGGATCCAATAAAACTACACTACTCTGTCACCAGAATCAACATAACGTTGGTCCGATACCAAATCTAGTGGGATAATCGCGCGTCAGAGGTTACCAAGAGAAAAATACGAATCCTCTGGGTATTGATAAGCTGAAGGATAATCAAAAAGAAGGCGACAGCAACTAGCAGGAAAATAGTGTATTAATTCCAACATTTTTGTCTGACTCTTAACACTCACAAAATAAAAATCGACGTGAAAATAACTTAAGCGTTAAACATAGTGGGACTATTATAATGAAAAACGATTCAGTCCAGAGATATTTCAACGAGTCACATTAATATGTATAACAATCACCGATGGTTAGGAGTTTAACATATGGGCAGTTCAAATATTTCGTGCGCATAATTAGAAAAACAACCAATGTTGTAGAAATGTTAATGCTGGTATTATTTTTGGTTGAAGTTAGAAAGTCAGGTAACATTTATGTCGGTATTTCGTCCGTATGACTTAATTTCCAAGTGCATTTGCGTCAGTAGGTTAACTGAGGAAACAAAAGGACGACCGTTGAGAGGAAGGATTTCAACGTTTTGACGGAGTTTATGCTGGCGATGTTCTTCAGAAGAGCGATTAAAGCTCCATGATCAAACCATCCAGCTAGGAAAACAAACTCCATCAAATTCATCCACCTGAGCTACAAATCTTCATCATCTCAAGGATTCCAACTATTGTTCCAGTTAGCTTTTCGAATGTAATACGGTTTATTTAGTCACAAGGGGACTTTCTCAACTCCATTATTGCTTAACCACGGTAGGATTTAATAACGCTAATAATACATATGAATTGCCTTACGATAATCCTTTCAATACATGAAGACAGTGACAGTCGTGTGAATTTCGGGCAGATAGCTAACAGTAGCTTATATATTTATGCTTACCGGTTGATAGAGTATATAAGTTAATGGCAAGTATCAAATTTGGTAAAAAGCAGAAATCGACTGATTTGAAATGGGGTAAATATAAGTTTCAAGATGACGTCGAGTCGCGATTGACTATGATCACCACTATATGAAGATTACGTGTCAGGTATCGACGTGGATCCCTCGGTAGGCCAAATATCAGAAGGCTATTAATGGTTGAAATAAGATATATTTATTGGCGATCTCGTGGTATCGAAAGAATATCGAGATGTGTCAAAGTTTACAGGCAGAACCGATGAGGTCACCACAAGTTGTTGAAATCGACAAAACTCATGCGACATAAATACAGGTGACATGGTGTAACACAATGCTTTCTGCTGAATAAATCTTCACAAGATAATAAACAATGAGTACTACTCCTTTGATTATCAGGGGAGCATAAATTATAACCAAGAGGAGTACGACTCCCGACTCATGTCTATGATGATGGTATGAATCTTTGCCAGTGTCGGGGTAAATTCTACAGTGATGCCTCCAGCTTGCAGGAGATTCGCTCTACTGCTTATATTGATAATTTGCATGCATGACTGTATCTATAAACTTCCAATAAGTCTGATAAAATTCTAAGATGTTTAATAAATGGGCAAGTGATAGAGAAACATACTGAAATCATTGATAACAGATAATGATAGCCACGAAAAAAACAGTACTATTTAGTAATAATTGGAAGACAATTTATCGACAGACTTCGTTAATAGTCTGATCAATTTTGTTAATCATATTACGTGATTGTCAAGTCATGGCAATGCCTTATGACGATATCCAGAAACCATTATGAATAACTAGTAATAGTTTTGATTGGAGATAAACTAGTGGAACATGGGTATTATTGTCTTAGGTTATTCCGAAATATCAGAAGTTTGTAGCATTAACGGATCCAGAGATAGCTGTCCACTAAAGTCAATTTTATTAGCAGGCTCCAGAGTTTTCATTTTGAAGTGATAGTTTAGCTATCATATAAGTGTAGTACAATACCTTAATGCGGTGACTATATTATCTATGTTGAACGCCTTTTTAGTCAACCGATATGATAGGCCACTACATAAACCAAAATGAGTACAGCAATAACGACTATGATGGGTTTCGGAGAAAATGTTGAGGGTGTTTTATGTAATTGTTAAATTCAAATAGCATACAGATGATGTAATGCAATGCATGTACAGGCCGGGTTATCATATACGTTGATGAGGAATATAACAATCTAAATAAGGAAAAAGGTTAAAGGTTGGGACATGATATATAGAACTACAGTTAGGAACATAACGGGTATAATAGAATTTTTATAAGTGGTTCTTGTAGTTAGCCTAGTGGAATTCATAAACATGTAGTATTGATAATCAGAACTAGAAAGTGTTAAATCAATGTTGAATCTAATATGGAACTCCTGAAAACAACACACATATTCATAGTAGTATATGGTCATTTGAAGCTATTAAATATATATTATCCCTAAAATTCATGAGATGGGTTCATATGAAACTTATTACATACATGGAAAGAAGCATCAAAAACATGGCAAACTATCCAGCAAAATAATTGAACTCGCTGCAATTTCTGAGGTGAAGTTTGATAAAACAAGATCAAAATACAAACCAATAAAAAGAAAGTAACAAGTTCCAAAGTCGCACGAACAGATTTAGAAAACTTAAACATTCTCACCAGGAAGTTTCAGAAAAATCTCTTAATCGCATCATAGTTCGCAATAAAGTCATCTAGAAAACGGACATGAGCTAATCACAATTATGTTTCACTTAAATCCAAGGATTTGATTCTTTTGCCATCATTTGTTTCGAAGTAATCGCTTTCTTTGCGCTTTTGTATCCAGGTAGATTTTTTGAAGTTTTCAGTGGTCCAAGGATAAATTACAAAATCCTTCTAAGGATTTTGACCTGACAGTTGAGTGGCATGTAAACTCCTACAATCAATACACTAAAGCTCCCTGGGAATGTTACCATTAGAAAACAAAAAATAAATATAAATAATAGGCTTGACAAGTCTCACATTACAGTACTGATGCTTCAAGCAAGAATCTGTAGAT